GTATAGAAGCTAAATTGATATACTGTATTGTTATGCTCTAGCAGTATTCTTGTTTTTGACATCTGATTTCTAAAAATAAGGATTAAAATGTTTTTAATTGCTGTCAAATTATTTGATTATATCGGTAATATAAGGTTAACACAGTTTAGATTTTTACCTAATTAATTTGATTACAAATAAGGAGAAATGCCTCTTTTAATCATTATTATAATTTGTGCATGTTGTGATTTTTGTTCTTTATTATTTCTCTTTATATAGTGCTATTGAAACAAGGAATATTTTCTGAAATGTGTGAAGCCAAATAAATATTTTTTTTCTTGACGCAGGTAGTCCTCCACTTAAGACAGTTTGTTTAGTGACTGTTCAAAGTTACAATGACACTGAAAAATGTGACTTATGACTGTTTTTCATAGTTACGACTTTTGCTACATCCCCATGATCATGTGATCAAAATTCAGATGCTTGGCAACTGGTTCATATTTATGACCATTGCTGAGACCTTCTGACAAGCAAAGTCAATGGGGAAACCAGATTCGCTTAACAACAATCAACTGCAGTGATTCATTTAACAACTGTGGCAAGAAAAGTTCTAAAATGAGGCAAAACACACTTAACAAATGTCTCACTTAACAATAGAAATTTTGGGGTCAATTGTGGTCATAAGCCGAGGACTACCTATATTTGGTATTCTTCTCTTTCTCTATGTTTAAATTGGCTAATAAACAATGCAGATAAACCCAATATTGTTACATATATATTGAAAGCAATCAAAACCACAATATTTCAATTATATTATCTACTTTCATTTATAAAGTGGCATAACCTGGACACTTTCTCTAAAATCAAAGTTGAAACTGATCATGGTTAAGTCTCTGTTTTGGTTCCAGTTCAGTATCTAGGAAAAAAACATAGAATATCCCAACGATAGGAAAATTTCTGGCTCTACTAAATTCCCAAGTACCAAAGCATGCATTATGCAACAATGCATTATTAAACCTTTTTTTATCAGCAACAATATTTCATACCACATCAATCTCCCTGTTATTTTTCAGAGTTTCACCTCTAGCAGAAGTTTCTACTAGTCATCAGTGGGCACATTACTCACAAACTTAAAACACTTTCTTACTCTTGCAAAGTTACTCTTACGTAGTAAGATCAAAGCATAGGCTTTAGAGAGTAGTAGTTCCTCCACCTGCTTTGTCTCTGTATTAGACAAAATTCAAACACTATGTAGAATAAATTACTTTGGTTTTTCTTTCATCTTAGCGGATGTCAGGATTTGGACAATCTCATCGAAGTGAATCGTATATCAAACAAGAAAGGCACATTGTAAGTTCTACATTGTACAGCTGAATTAGGCAACTGCATTATATTAATGAATCTAGTTCTGAAAAGTTATCTCGTTCTTTTAAAATATTATGAATCAAATATTGGTGATAATCTTATTGGACATTCCTTCATAAACTTAGAAATGCTATGTTTCTTACTGAATTGTTAATATATACAAATGAAACTTTGCTTTAAAGGACTGATTGGGAGTAAAAGTCAAAGAGATGTTCACAAGTATCTTTTAAATATGAAAATATATCATTGAGGTGTTTTGCATCATTTATGTGATTTCACTATGTGAAGGACTGTAAATAGTCAAAAAACAACATTGCACCATTTGCATCTGTGATCAAATGTGCATTTGGAGAAACAGTGGGGGAAAGTTTTGGCAACACAGAGAGAGGTCCAGATGAAGAGACTGTGAAGTCCTGAGCTGGATGCAGGAATGGGAAAGAAATCCAGGATAGCCACAACCTAGATCTCTTAGGAACTAGTACAGGGGTTCCCAACCTCCGGTCCATGGACTAGAACCAGGCTGCAGCATTCCAGAAACGGGGCTCTGCAAACAAGGGAAGCCCCATCCGCAGGATGCAGGCAGTATATGAAGCCACGCTCCCTCCAGTCCGTGGAAAACCTCTCTCCACGGAACCAGTCCCTGGTGCCCAAGAGGTTGGGGGTCGCTGATCTAGTAGATCAGAAAGTTACAGCTTTAGTTTGACAACATTCTGTCGATTAGGTATAAGCAAATAAATGATTAAACTCTGTTGGACTTGGCCAAGGGTCTTCAAACTTGGCCCTTTTATGACTTGTGGACTTCAACTCCCAGAATTCCTCAGCCAGTGTGCCTGGCTGAGGAATTCTGGGAGTTGAAGTCCACAAGTCATAAAAGGGCCAAGTTTGAAGACCCCTGGACTTGGCTTATGTGGCAGCATCACACAAAGATCACAAATTATTTTATTTGCATAATTACTTCATTGTGTAAGTGATACAAATCATTATAGAAGATCTATTGCATCCAAAGTTAATTATACTGAGATGTGATCAATCACTGAATATACAGTTTCTCCTTGCAAACATTGTAACTATAATGCACATTTACAATAAATTGTTAAATTTATATTCCATCTTTTCACCAAAAACAATGTTCAAGTTAAGCAATAACTAATGCTACTAATATAAAGAATTCAATATTAAATATTAAAACAAATACATTAAAATAAATTAAAACCTTCTGCTCAATAATTATTGAAATCTCTGCAGTTCCTTATACTTACTTTATTTTGTTCCCAAATCAGCTCTGGCCTGGACAGTTTCATTGAAGTCAAAGATAAAAACAATCAAAGGTAAGTCTGTACTTCCAGTTTGTGACTTTTAATTTGCTGTGGTTAGACACAAATGTAGTATAACTTGAGCAGGAAAATACAAAATGTGAAACCAAACAGAAAAATCACAACTACAAGTAGTCCTCGCCTTACAACCATTTGTTTAACAACAGTTCAAAGTTAAGACTGTACTGAAAAAAGTGACTTATAACCCACCTTCAAAGTTATGACTATTGTACAACCCCTGCGGTCAGATGATCATGATTAGCACAGTTTGCAACCAACTCCCATTTACAAGGGCAATTCGGAAATAAACCTGTGTTTGGTTTTCAATGACAGACACTCACAGATACAGAACTTTTATTATACACATTAGAAAATTACAACATTACATTACTTTTTGACATAATCACCATTCAAATTGAGGCATTTGTCATAATGTCTTACAAGGTTTGAAATTCCTTAGTAGTAGTCACTCGGTGCCAAATCTGGGCTATCAAAATCTGGGTGATCAAAAACATCCCAACGCAACTGCTTCAAAAGTTCTTGGGTGCATCTAGCGATGTGTGGGCGAATATTATCGTGAACCACCATCACACCGGAAGTCAGCATGCCCCGACACTTGTTATGGATGGCTTGTCTGAGTTTTCATAATGTTTCACAGTAGACTTCTGTATTGATGGTCAAACCACGCTCCATGAACTTCACTAGCAGTACTCCTTTGGCATCTTCACATTTGGCTGGATTTTCTATGGCACCACTTCCGGTGTGGTGTTGGTTCACGATAATGCTCACCCGCACACCGCTAGACGCACTGCTAGATGCACCCAAGAACTTTTGAAGCAGTTCCGTTGGGATGTTTTTGATCAATCCTCTTATAGCACAGATTTGGCTATAACAGCCAAAATTCCAGGCCCAATTGTGATTGTAAGTCAAGGATTACCTGTACATGAACACCCCCCCTACTGTTTTGCTCAGTTTCCAGACTCTGTAGCCTGAGCACTTTTTAATCACATAATTCCTCCATTATGAAACTTTTATACATAAAGCTTCATGAACTAAGGAGAAACTTCCTGACAGTTAGAACAATTAACCAGTGGAACAACCTGCCTCCAGAAGCGGTGAATGCACCAACACTGGAAGTTTTTAAGAAGAAACTGGACAGCCATTTGTCCAAAATGGTATAGGGTTTCCTGCCTGAGCAGGGGGTTGGATTAGATGACCTCCAAGGTCCCTTCCAACTTTATTATTATTATTATTATTATTATTATTATTATTATTATTATTATTATTATTATTATTATTATTATTATTATTATTTATGACTTGAAATAATATATCACTTTTGCAGGCAGTCCGATTCCAGAGGCATTTTGTAATCCAACAGTACAATTTGTAGATTATGTCAGGAGCAATTATTAGTTCTAAAAGTATTTCCTTATTCCTGCAAAGTTGCACTATTGATAGAATATCTTAGTAGAAATTGATGTTGTTCATTCATAAGTCACCTAAAGTGCAACATATGTTAAGAATAATTTTTTCTTGTTTTGGTTTCATTTTTGTAGGATTCCAAGAGTTGAGTAATGTCACTAAAGGAATTCATTCATTAATTAATATGACAAGAGAAATCAGGCATTTGGATTATATCCTTAATCTAGTTTTGCAAATAGTGTAAAGAGGGTAATTAACGTATTTCTAGTCCTATTATTATCTGTGTAATTCCTTCATGAAGCTACAATTTCCAGAAATAGGCAACAATATTCTTAAGTCAAATTATGTCCTTGAATTTCATGGATCTGTGAAATTTTCTAAGCAATAATATAGTACTGGTTTGCTACTGCCTTCCTTCTTTAAAAAATAATAATAATTCTCAGCTTTGCTTATAGGAAACCCAGAAAATTCCATTCAAGTATTCTCCTGGCCACATTCTGAGGAGTCCTTGGTGCTCTTTGAGCTTGCTTGTTTTCTTACAGACGTTTCATTACCCATTCTAGCTAACATCATCAGGGCTAGCAATGGAATGTCTACAAGAAAACATGCAAGCTAAGAGAGCACCAAGGACCCCTCATGTCAACCCAGAGCTACAAACATTCTCCTTTATTAGGCTACACTCTGTTTACAATAACTTTCCAGCCCAGACAAAGATGCAACCTCCTGAGAAAAAAAAAATCCATAGTTCCTTACTAATTTTTAAAATATTGATGTGCCCTTTTTCATTAACACTGTATATTGTGGGTTTTCCGACTTATGATATAAAAGTTACAGTTTAAGCTTTTTATATTTTGGCCGATTAGTTCCCTGTGTAACACTATAAGGAAAAATTCATCTCTGAATTCAAATTTTCTGGGGTTTAGAGTTAAACCAGCCTATCTAAGTTACCTGTTATACAAATTTTTATATCATCTCGGGACAGGGTCCCATAAAAAAATTTCTGTAACCCAATGCATTCAGACATAGAGAAGCCTCCCTTCCACAAAGAAATTTCGAACATCGAAAAATATGTTATTATTAGTGCTTTTAAAAACCTATTATAAAATGCAGTGTTTATTTGCTTGTATGAATATTAGTAATATTTGGAAAAGGTTTCTGAGACTTTTCAATAATCTTCTCCAAAAGGGGAAGGCTGGAGACTGGTCTGAATGAAGACAAGGAGAGCATAGACCTCATAGCTTCTTTCAGCGCTGCCAGTGAATATAACCTTCAAATATTCTAAAAGTTTATAAACTTCTAGAATACTTGAAGGTTAAAAAAGGCCACCTCCTATGTTTACATCAGAGCAAATTGTTCTGTTTATTCTACCCAGAGAAGGATATAAACTGTTCAAAAGAAACAAACCTGGCAAAAGAGGAGGTGGAGTTGCATTACTGTATATGTAAAAGATTGCCACATCTCTACAGAAATGCATAAAACCAAGGATGAAAGCTTCCTAGAATGCTTATGGCTTAATATACGTAAAAGAAAAAAATAATGACATTGCCATAGTTGTATATTACAGGCCATCCAACCAAACAGAAGAAATAGATGAACTTTTTGATAATCAGTTAACTAATGTATGTAGGAAACACACCACAGTAGTAATGGGGGACTTTAACTACCCTGACAACAATTGGGAAACAAACTCTTAATCAAGTGGGAGATTGAGCAGGTTCCTTACAAGCCTAGCTGACAACTTTGTCATCCATAACGTAGAGGAGGGAACTAGCTATACTGGACCTAATTCTTACTAACGGAGATGAAATGATAGAGGAGGTTGAAGTTGCTGGAACTTTGGGGGAGAAAAAAAGTTTCTTTCAACATGTAAAAAGCAAAAAAAAAAAAAGTCAAGGAAACAATCGTTCCACTAATGGGAGAAGTTGGCAATGAAGCAAGTGGCAACAGGGAAAAAAACAGAGCTGCTTAATTCATTATTTGCATCTTTCTTCATGCAAAAGGAAAAAATAGCCCAACCTATCAAAAAGAACCATAAGAAACAGACTAGGAATACAAATTAAAATAGGCAGGAAAATGGTAAGACAACATCTGTCCACCCTGCACAAGTTCAAATCACCAGGACCTGATGGATTACATCCCAGAGCTTTGAAGGAACTGACAGATGTGATCTCTGAACCATTTAACCATATCTTTCAAATATCCTGGCGCATCAAGGAACTACCAAAGGACTGGAAAAGAGCTGATGTGGTTCCCATCTTTTTTAAAAAAGGAAAAATAAAACAGATCCAGGAAACTACAGACCAATCAGCCTGACATCAATATCTGGGAAGATCCAAGAAAAGATAATCAAGCAACAGATCTGCAAACACTTAGAAGCAAGCAAAGTTATAACCAGAAGCCAACATGGGTTTGTCAAAAACAGATAATGCCAAACAATCTTATTTCATTCTTTGACAAAGTGACTAAACTAGTAGATCAGCTAAATGCTGTCAACATAGTATTTGGGTTGGATTTCAGTAAGGCACTTGACAAAGTAGACCACAACCTACTTCCTAGTAGGTTAGAAAAATGTGAAATAGACAGCATCACTACCAGAGGCATTCATAAACTGGCTGACAAACCACACTCAATGTATAGTCCTTAATAGAACTACATCTGTATGGAGGGAAGCAAGTGGTGGGGTACTCCAAGGTTCTGTCTTAGGCACAGTATTCTCAATATCTTCATAAATGATTTAGATGAGGGAATAGAAGGGAACCCACTAATTAAATTTGCAGATGATACTAAGCTGGCAGGAATAGCCAACACCCCAGAAGGTAGACTTAAGATCCAGAAGGATCTCGCTAGACTTGAACACTGGACCCTGTTGTCTAACAAAATGAAATTCAATGGTGAGAAAAGTAAAGTTTAATGCTTAGGCAAGACAAACCAAATGTACAGGGACAGAATAGGTGGAACCTGTCTCAATAGCAGTACCTGCGAGAGGAATTCTGGGAGTTGAAGTCCACAAGTCATAAAAGGGCCAAGTTTGAAGATCCCTGGTCTAAGCCCATCATTCTCCCCACTACTAGACATGGTTGTTTAGAGCGAGCAGATTAAAAACATCCCCGAAAAAGGCAGAAGCAAACCACTTGTGCACTGTTGTTAAAAAACTATATAGGTGACCAAGAGCTGAGCTGAACTTGAAGAAAAAGTGCATTCTGATAAAAGCAGGAAGTGTTAAATATTGTATCTATCCATGATACTAGAAGTTGCAATCTTATTTTATCAAGGCTAAAATACAAATAGCTTATTTTCAACTATCTGAATTAGCTGCATTTCCCCTTCAGAACATTTACTATCCACATAATTAGTGAAATCATGGTTCAGGATAAATGTGAGTCTCCCAGGCTGCCAACACTTTAGGACACGGGTGTCAAATTCGATCATGTCCTATGATGTATCGTGACGTATCGCAATATTTTTTGCCTTTGAGGAGCCAGGCTGGTTGTGGCCTGCACGTGACGCATCCGGCCCACGGGCCATCAGTTTGACACCCCTGTTTTAGGGCATCAGTGGTGGCTGTGTGCACTAGTTCTTCCAATAACTATGAGAAATCTATACCTTTTTCTTACAAAGGGCTATTACTGACAAAGAATTGTGTACCTATTGCCGGAAACCATTGGGCACAAATACTAAAATGATTCTCGAAGCGCTAAAGATTTGCTGTCATGCGACTTGCTTCAAGGTAAGAATGCCGTTTCATTGACTGTCCTAAAATGGCAAATGTGCATACAAATGTATACAGATGTGCATAGACACCTATTTTGGTATAATGGTTAAGATGCTGGCCTAGAAACTTAGTTAATGTTAGTCATGAAAATGTGGTCTCCTCCCATTTGGTCCAAGCTTTCTCGTATTGCCGTGTGATATTATTCAAGACTGCAAGAGCCATGAATTGTTATAAAGTTCTAAAACATGGTGATAAATCCCTGATTGCATTAATGTTTCAGATGTGGAAGACATGAGTTTTTTGAATGATTGCTGGAAGCAAGTAAGCCAGCCACTTACAAGTTAAGGCACCAGGCTAGAAATCAGAAAATTTTATTCTAGTCTCAACTTAGGCAGGAGCACCAGCTGGGTGACTTTGGGCCAAATACTCTCTTGACCCAACCTACCTTATAGGGTTGTTATTGAGGAAAATAGGAACAGGAAGGAGTATTATGTAGATTTGCTATCTGAGGTACTTATAAAGTAGTAAGATGGGATAAAAATCCCATAAATATAGTTGGGATTGTGTCCTATTAGCTAGCCGTTTCAACTTAACCAATAGTAATCTTGTATTACCGGTAACTATATATTGTACATGGCCTGCTGCAAAATAATGTGGAATCCAAGGCAACATACTTTGTCTGCTGGGCACTAATGCAGAAAATTCCACCTTTGAAGAACCATTCTGAACTTGGAACGTACAAATGGAATGTACAATCTACAAGTGATTCAACTTTAGAAAAGCTGTTTTTAAAGCTCACAGAATGAGCTATTCCAAGGTTAGAATACTCTGTGATGAAACATTTTGCACATTCCTGCTAGAAAGCGACAGTCTTTGATCTCCTATCTATGTGTAAGCTTTCTGAAAGCACCTAATTAGTCAGTGTGGCATCTACAGTGCTGGAAAGTTGCTGTTCAAGCCGAAATACCTTTTCTAGGATACAGGTACAGATTTATGACAGCCATTGGGACTGGACTTTCCATTGCTAAGCTGTAAGCGCAGCTACAATCCCTGATCATTAGGCAAGACAACTTCCTGCTGGCTTCTCACAACCAAGTCAATGGAGAGGCCAGCCGAAAGCTGCCAATCCCAGTTGGTTTGCAAGCAGGCTGGTAGACAAGAGGCTGCTGCTGGGTGGAGAAGGGCACAAAAGGGATGTATGGGTGGCATGGCAAGGCTTCTCTTGATACAGGATGCAAAGGATGTATGACAGGGAGGTGCAGGAGGATGTGAGGGAAGCACATGGGGGTTGGGGATGAGGTGCTAGTGGCTGGCAAGTACAGAGGGGCTGGGAACGATTGTGTGGGTATGGGAGATTTATCCCAATGATTTATGACCTTTCCTTCCAGCTTCCCCATTGACTTTTTGTCAAACGGCAATTGTCACCGCAACTGGTCATAAGGGCAAGCCGGTTGCCAAGTGTCACAATCACATGACTGCAGGTCTCTAAGAGGACTTTTCAACCATCATTTGTTCAGCGCCATTGCAACTTTGAATGGTTGATGAGCAAATGATTGTAAGTCGAGGACTAGATTTAATGTATTCTATTCTCTCTCCTTGTTGTTTTTCTTTCTTTCTACCGAAAATCAACCAGCATTTTCTGTCCCCAAAACACACAGTATTCTGTGGTAAACAAGCTCTATCTACATTAGGATGGAGTTCTTCAGATACCTGAGAATTCTTTCCTATGTTTCTGTATATCTATTAACGGTAGGATTTTTCTAAAGGGATTAATATTTTGGATGTGAATAGTATCATTTTGATTCTATTAGAAACCAGGTGAAGATAAGTTTGATGTTAGCATTGAAGGATTGATTTAGAAATTAATGCTTTCCATACAAATCTATTTTGTTTTCCCCTTTCATTCTCTGACATGACTATGAAAAAGGGATTAGAATTTTCTTCAGTTTTTAATTGATTGCATTATTGTTTATCCAGGTAAACCAATTAAAAGTGGGAATGTTTGGGAAAATTCTATTTAAAATATGTTTTGGTGATTGGACATGTTAGTTCCAACTCACTACAAACTTGCTAAATTAGATTTGGGGAGCTCTTCTGAAGGAGAAAAGATAGATTTAAACCGAATGCAATTAGACAACTCTGAAATCTTGCTTCTGATCATGGAACCACATAGAAATTCAGTAACAAGATTTGTGCTTTTTTGAAGATCATTCTGATGTATCCAATTAAAATAATCAAGGGAATAAGAGAAATCTTTATTTGAGATCTTGGACCACCACTGCTAGCTGCATTCAAACTAAACTGGATGAATGTTAAGCTCCAGTATAAAACCTTTCCTTAATTTATCATTTATCTTTAGAATACTGGAAAATTGTAAAATTACATAGCCAAAATGTGGGAAGAATGTACGTTCAGTAGCTGCTAGCCCAATAATAAAGCACATTCATACAGAAAATGAGTATTGATGCTGAATGTCTCTGAAATATTTTAATTCATACTAAAATTATAGTGAAATAAAGTTGTAAGACAAGCTACTGTCGTATTAAAAATGACAGGCAGATATGTTGTTCTTTGGCTGGATTTTACCACTAAAATTTTTTAATTCCATGTCTTCAAGTGTGAAATCTGCAAAACAACTTTAGAAAACCTGGAGGCAGGAGACAGTATCTGGATTTACAAGAACATAGTACACTGTTCACCGTGTTATTCTAAAGTTAAAGGTAAGTTATATTCAAAGTAACTTCCAATATGTAAGTATTTGGGAAATACCTATTCATCTTGAATTTTTGTAGAAATATATTCAATTTGCAGCTTCTTTAAACATGCATGTGTACTGGAATGTTCTGGATTGAAAAGCTGACTGATTATGTGCCATCAATTCATTGTCAGCATTTATTACTCTCCTTCCAGACTGAAATAAAATTAAAAAATGCAAAAGCACAATATGAACAAAATAAGATTTTAGTTTAGAGTTCATATACATTAATTTAAAGGTATATATTACAAATCCAGATTAAAAGAAACTGCTTTTTCTCTCTCTTTGCATGCATGTATAAATAAAAAAATGGTTGGATTGTATCTCCACATTTGTCAGAGCATCAGAATATAATAAGAGTTCTTTGAAATTATTGGAGATTCTGGCGGGGGTGGGGGGTGGGGAGCAAAGAATGAGCACAAAGATCCTGTTTGGGACAGTGGCACTTTTCTACTAAGCCTGTAGTTTTCAGGACATACAACTGTGAAATGATGAGGGAGAAGGAAACACATACACACCATACACTTCTCCAGCCAGCCAGATTAATCCTGGTGATTAGTGGGCTGATAAATCTTGGAGTCATATGCTAATTTTAAGATTATCAGCATTTAATGAAGTACTTCTGGGATAACAGGAATATATCAAATATGTTTAGAATGTTTAATTTTGTTTTTATCAACCTGTGTTTAAGCTCAGAAGCCATTGATTTTTACATTAGTGTTTCTAAGTGTTTTTATTTCTATCCCCTACAGCCACATGGACATACTAATCATGAATGAACTCTGATCAAACATATCTGAGCTCAGATATTCCAGCAATCTTTATTTGTATCTGAAAATTGTATTTTTTTTAGAATAAGATATTTCAAAAATCCACATTAGGCATTTGAGCATAAAATAAAATCATTTCTAAATGAAAGATAACATATGTACTTAGAATCTTCCTAGATGTTTTAATTGTTAGCAAGAGAAATGTCTACGATTGTAGCATTATAATGAATAAGGACACAAAGAGTTATACTGTAAATACAGCATATGAAGATAACTATTTTTGCTTAACATATTCTGTTTTCTGTTCATGCATTGATAATTCATATATGGGTGCTCATCATATCGATAGAAACTTCTTCTTTAGCTGCAGCAGTTCTTAAGAGAGAAAGATTTTGCAACTTTGGTTGGGACTGTTGATTTTGAGAAGAACCAAATCATCACGAAAGCTGCCAGAAAACAAGCAAGATGAAATCAAGTGGTGTCCGTGCTTTTATGATCTATTGTTTTCCTATTATTAATGATCCCTAGATGTTGAGTCTGCTTCACTTCACTTCCATTCAAACTGTAGCTCTGTGGAAGAGAATATTGGGGTCAATCTATTGTTCAAAGCACCTGAAGGCAACACAAGAGGCAATGGATGGGAACTAATCAAGGAGAGAACCAG